CGCGGGAAGGCCATGTCCGGCGCGCCGATCATCAAGGGCACGAACCAGTTTCCGAACCCGCCGATCAGCGCCGGCATCACCACGAAGAAAACCATGATCAGGCCGTGGGCCGTGATGATCACGTTCCACATCTGGCCAGGGTCGGCCGACATGAAGTTGAAGATCTGAACGCCTGGCTCCTGCAGCTCCATCCGCATCAGAATGGAGAAGACGCCGCCGATCAGGCCGGCGATCACGGAGAAGATCAGATAGAGAGTGCCGATATCCTTGTGGTTGGTGGAGAAGAACCACCGAACGAAGAAACCCGGCTTGTGATCGTGATGATCGCCGTGGGCGTGCGTGTCGCTGTAAGCCATGATCTTTCCTTCAGCCGTCGGTTGCTGACGAGCCAGTTGTTCTTATGCCTTTACGGGCGCTGTTCAGCGGGCGGCCGTCTCGGCTACCTGCGTGTCGCCCGGCTGCGGCAGCAGCGCGGCCTGCTGCTCGGCAATCCAAGCGTCGAAGGCCTCTTGCGAGACCACCTCGACCATGATCGGCATGTAGGAGTGGCCCGTGCCGCAAAGCTCGGAGCACTGGCCGTAGTAGGTGCCTTCTTCCGTGACGTGGACCCAGGTCTCGTTGAGGCGGCCCGGGACGGCATCGATCTTCACGCCGAAGGAAGGCACGGCGAAGGAGTGGAGCACGTCGCCCGCGGTGACCAGAATGCGCACGGTCGTATCGACCGGGATCACGACCGAGCGGTCGGTCGCCAGCAGCCGGGGCAGGTCCTGTTCGGCGGCCTCCTCGTCCCGCAACATGAAGGCATCGAAGACGAAGTTGCCGTGGTCGGGATACTCGTAGGTCCAATACCACTGCTTGCCGATGGCCTTGATCGTCATGTCGGCCTCGGGGATCACGTCCTGGGCGTAGAGCAGCTTCATCGAGGGGATCGCGATGATCACCAGGATCATCACCGGCACAGCCGTCCAGATCACCTCCACCATGGTGTTGTGGGACGTTTTCGAGGGCGTCGGGTTTGCGGAAGCGCGGAACCGCCGCATCACGTAAACCAGCAGGGCGAGAACGAAGAGGCAGATCAGCGTGATGATCACCAGCAACAGATTGTGAAAGTCGTGAATCTGATCCTTGATCGGCGTCACACCGGCTTGCAGGCCAATCCCGCCGGGCACCGGCTGACCCACCAGCGTTTCCTGGGCCCAGGCAGTGCCGCTGGCCAGGAGGCCCGCGATCGCGGCGAAGAAAGCGCCGGTCTTGCTCATCAGCTTCATCATATTCGGTGTCTCGACCCTATGTTTGCGCGAGCCCGGAGTCTGCCGCGCGACGTTCGGTTCAGTCTATCCCGCTTTCGCCTCGATCTTCCTGTTCGCAGGCGTCAGCGACCGGACTCGGCTTCAATTCACGCCGAAACTAAACCAGGGACCTTAACGCAACAAGTCAGCAGCTCTGCGGCATAGTACCGCCAGGATCGCTGGACCGCCCCAGCAACCGTTTGTGTGCCATCGATCTTGGCGGCTGCTCCTGGCATCTCCACATATTCGATTGCGGCAATTTGACGCAAACCATTGGGATGGCTGAAAGATTCGTCCTTCCTCACTCGCTGCCACCGCCGACACGGCCCTTGCCGCCGCGCTCCCCACGAAGCGAGCGCTTCACCCGGCGCACCCCCAGCCAGATCAACAGGACGATGACCGGAATCGACAGCGCGGTGATCTGATCGGGGGAGAGCGGTAGGCCAAAGGACTTGCTGCCCTTGGCGAGATAGCCGACGAGGCTGACGAGGTAATAGCTGACAGCAGCGATCGAAAGCCCTTCGACGGTCTCCTGCAGACGAAGCTGCAGCTTGGCCCGGCGGTTCATGGATTCCAGCAGATCGCGGTTCTGCGCCTCCAGGGTCACGTCGACCCGGGTGCGCAGCAGCTGCCCGGCGCGTGCAACCCGGCGCGACAGAACATCCAGACGGTCCTGGGTCGATTCGCACGTGCGGATCGCCGGCGTCAGGCGACGGTCCATGAATTCCTGGACGGTTTGAAAGCCCTCGATCCGTTGCTCGCGCAGTTCCTGTATCCGGCGCTGAACCAGGGCGTGGTAGGCACGCGCCGCCGAGAAGCGATAGCTCGTCGCGGCGGCGATCCGCTCGATTCCGGCAGAAACCTCGGTCAGGTCGCGAAGCAGCCGCTGCTCGTCTTCCAAGCGGTCGCAATCGGCCATCTCCTCCAGGCTGCCGCGCAGCCGCTCGCCCAGACGAGAGAGGTCGCCACCGTACTGGCGCGCGAGCGGCAGGGCCAGCAGGGCCATCATGCGGTAGGTCTCGATCTCGCAGAGACGCTGCACCAGCCGTCCGGCCTGCCGCGGCCCCAGTCCGACGTCGCGAACCAAGACCCGACCGAAGCCGTCGTCTCCGACCCAGAAATTCATCCAGGTCTTGGCGGCGCCGCCGGACATCGCGGAGCCGGCATAGTTGTCGACCCCCATCAGCGTGCCGATCTTGTCGGGATCTTCCTCCAGCGGCGTGGCGTCGCGCGCCTCCAGCTCGACGTGCAGGCCGACCAGCATCCGGCCCTGCATCTGCTCCAGCCAATCGCGGGGCACCCGCTCGATCACCGGATGCGCGAAACGCTCCACCTTGCCGTCGCCATGCAGAGGTGGGGCTTCCCGCGCATAGAAGGCGTAGGTCGAGAACTCGGTGTGCCGCTCCCAGCGCAAACGGAAGGGTCCGAGATCGACCATATGGAAATTGGCCGTGTCGCCCGGAGGCGGCTTGCCGTAACGCTGGCAGAGTTCCGCCACCAGAGCCCGCTCCTCGGCAACCCCGCTCTCGCCGCTGTGCAGCGCGACATGAGTGACGCGTTCGCTCGGCTGCAGGTGCGCAAAGGGACGCGCATGCACCTCGCGCGTCAATTCGTTGCGCAGCTCGTGTTCGGTCAGGCCCATGGGCATGAACCGCAAATCCCCCCTTTGAGCGCGGCCCGAAGACGGCCCCGCTGACCTGCCCCCTGCATTCGCGCCTCCTAGCCTCTACATTATCGGGACGAGAACCGAAACGCCCTATCCGGATCGCACCTGAACCAAGCCGCAGCGGAGACGAGTTCGCCATGACCCACCTCGCCGATACCGACGAACTGTTCTACTCGCGCGCCGGGCTCGACCGGAAAAGACTGGAGGGAATCGTCGATGACGCCCTGGGCAAGGCCGACGACGGCGAACTGTTCCTCGAGTACCGGCAGTCCGAGTCCCTGGCTTTCGACGACGGTCGATTGAAGTCGGCCAGCTTCGACACCGATCAGGGCTTCGGCCTGCGCGCCGTCTCCGGAGAGGCGGCAGGCTACGCCCACGCCAGCGAGTTGAGCGAGGCGGCGGTTCAACGCGCCGGCGAGACCGTAAAAGCGGTACAGAGCGGTCACGGCGGCACCATGGCCGACGCCCCGAGCAACACCAACCGGCAGCTCTACACCCCCGACAACCCGCTGAACGCTCTGGCTTTCGAAGCCAAGGTGAAGCTGTTGAGCGAGATCGATGCCTACGTGCGGGGCAAGGATTCGCGCGTGCGTCAGGCCACGGTCTCACTCGCGGGGTCCTGGCAGGCGGTGCAGATCCTGCGTGCCGGCGGCGAGCGCCGGGCCGACATCCGGCCGCTGGTCCGCCTCAACGTGTCCGTCGTCCTGGAACAGGACGGCCGCATGGAAGCCGGCTCCTACGGGACCGGCGGCCGGGTCGGCTACGACGGACTGATCGAGACCGCCACCTGGCAAGCGGCCGCCGACGAGGCCTTGCGTCAGGCGGAGATCAATCTCGGGTCGGTCGATGCGCCGGCCGGCGAGATGCCGGTACTGTTGGGCCCCGGCTGGCCCGGCATTCTGCTGCACGAGGCGGTCGGCCACGGTCTGGAAGGCGACTTCAACCGCAAGAAAACCAGTGCCTTCGCCGGCCTGATGGGCGAGCAGGTGGCGGCGCCCGGCGTGACGGTGATCGACGACGGCACCTTGCCGGACCGGCGCGGCTCCCTGACCGTCGACGACGAAGGGACACCGACCGAGCGCACCGTGCTGATCGAGGACGGCAAGCTGGTCGGCTACATGCAGGACCGGCAGAACGCCCGCCTGATGGACATGAAGCCGACGGGCAATGGGCGGCGTCAGTCCTATGCCCACATCCCCATGCCGCGCATGACCAACACCGTGATGCTCGGCGGCGAGGCCGACCCGGCCGAGATGCTGGCGGGCGTGAAGAAGGGCCTCTTCGCCGTTTCCTTCGGCGGCGGCCAGGTCGACATCACCAGTGGCAAATTCACCTTTTCCTGCACCGAGGCCTATCTGATCGAGGACGGCAAGGTCGGCCCGGCGGTCAAGGGCGCCACCCTGATCGGCAACGGACCCGAGACCATGAAGAAAGTGTCCATGATCGGAAACGACATGGCCCTGGATCCGGGCATCGGCACCTGCGGTAAGGATGGCCAGGGCGTCCCGGTCGGCGTCGGCCAGCCGTCGCTTCTGGTCTCCGCGATCACCGTCGGCGGCACGGCCTGAGAAATCTATCCACAGGCCCCGTCGCCAAAGCGTCATGACAGCTTTGCCCAAGTGACGCGACCGTTACACCGGCGCGACACCAAGCCGGCTTAGCCTGCCCTCTCCATCTTTCGGCCCGTCGGCAGTCCCTCGCGGAGGCGTCTGCTGCAGACGCGGTCGATGGCTTGCGAGAGGGAGACATTTGGCATGCTCAAGTCCTTGCTGACGGCCGCTGGAGTGGCCTGCGCCGCCCTGGCCGGCGCCCTGAACCTCGCGGCGACCCCTGCAGCGGCGGCCCAGACCGTCAGCTTCGCCGTCACAGATGTCGAAGGCCTGGAGCAGCTCCAGCGCGACTGGACGCCGATGCGCGACAAGCTGCAGGCGCTCACCGGCTATGAGATCGAGTTCTTCGCCGTCAGCAGCCGCACCGCGGCCGTCGAGGCGCTGGACGCCGAGCGACTCGACTTCGTGCTGACCGGCCCGGCCGAGTATGTGGTCATGAACAAGCTGACCGGCGCCTATCCGATCGTCGGCTTCGGACGGCCCGACTACTTCTCCGGTGTTATCGTGTTGGCCAACAGCGGCATCACGAGCGTTCAGGACCTCAAGGGCAAGAGAATCGCCTTCGGGGACGTCGGCTCGACCTCCTCGCATCTGGCCCCCTCGCAGTTGCTGGCCGACTACGGGTTGGACCCGCGCAGCGACATGGAGGCGATTCACACCAGCGAGCCGATCCAGTGGGAGTCGCTGAAGCGCGGCGACGTGGATGCGGTCGGGATGAACTACATGAGCGACTACATCGCCCTGCGCGATCAGGACACCGACCTGCCGCCCGGCGCATTTCGGGTGGTCGCGCGCGGGCCCGATCTTCCGAACGACGTCCTGATGGCAGGCCCGCACGTCGACCAAGAGGTCGTCGAGACGCTGCGCGCGGCCTTCATCGAGAATTCCCGGGCACTCGTCGAGGCGGTGGTGGCGCCGGGTGGCGACAACGCCAAGTACGAGGGCATGGCCTTCGTGCCGGAGGTGAAGGACAGCGACTACGACTACGTCCGCCGCGCCTATTCCGCCATCGGTCACCCTCAGTTCGGCGAGTTCGTTGGCGACTGACAGCGCGCGTCCGCTTGCCGAGCCGCCCGGCGCGGCCGCGATATCCGTCGCCGCGTCGGCCCCGGCCGCTCTCCTACACAGGCCTGTTGCCGCGCGGGCCGTTATTACCGTCGAGGGTCTGAGCAAGCGCTACGAGACGGCGGGAAAACCGGTGCTGCAGGGCGTCAGCTTTGCCGTCCGCGCCGGCGAGGCCGTGGCCCTGATCGGCGCCAACGGCTGCGGCAAGTCCACCCTGCTACACTGCTGCACCCGGCTGATCGAGCCGAGTGCGGGAAGTATCCGGCTTCTGGACGAAGAGGTGCCGGCCCTGTCGCGCCGGCGACTGCGGCTTCTGCGCGCCAAGGTCGGGCTGGTCTTTCAGAAGCACAATCTGGTCGGTCGCCTTTCGGTCTTGACCAACGTGTTGCACGGCGCCCTGGCGCGGCAGTCGGGACCGCGCAACTGGTGCCAGGCCTTCGCGACCGGACCCGCGCGCGAAGAAGCCTTGCATTGCCTGGAGCAGGTGGGGCTGGCCGATCTGGCGAGGCGGCGGGCCGACCGGCTGTCCGGCGGTCAGTCGCAACGGGTGGCGATCGCACGGGCGCTCATGCAGCGTCCCGAGCTGCTGATGGCCGACGAGCCGGTTGCCAGCCTGGACCCCAAAGCCGGTGAGGAGGTCATGGCACTGTTTGCGGACTTGGCGCAGGCACGCGGCCTGACCCTCTTCTTCACCACCCATCACCTGGAGCATGCGCTCGATTTCGGAGAGCGGATTCTGGCGCTGCGAAGCGGCCGCCTCGCTCTCGACGCCTCGGCACAGGGTCTGACCGCCGAAGACCTGCGAGGCATCTATGTCTGAGCAACGGGCCGAACCGCCACGGAGCCAGCTGCCGCCGCGCTTTTCTCCGCCACACCCGCTGACGTATCTGGCCTGGGTCCTGCTTGCAGCCTTCTTCGTAGCCAGCCTCGACGGCACCGAATGGTCCTTTTCGGATCTCGCCGAGGGCGTGCCGGCCCTTTGGAGCTTCCTGGCCAAGGCCTTTCCACCCGACCTGGAACGGCTGGACGCCGTCTTGTGGGCCCTGCTCGAGACTTTTCAGATGGCGTTGGTCGGAACGGTGGTCGGCGTGCTGGTCAGTCTGCCTTTGGCCGTACTGGCCAGCCGCAAGCACAGCCCGGCAAAGCCGATCTATGCCGCGGCGCGTGGCCTGATCGCGCTGTTCCGCGTCGTACCGGATCTGGTCTGGGCTTTGATCTTCGTTGTCACCGTGGGCCTCGGACCCTTCGCCGGCACACTTGCTCTGGCGGTCGACACCATGGGTTTCTGCGGGCGCTTCTTCGCCGAGGCCATGGAGGAAGCTAACGACGGCCCCCAGAAAGCGCTGGACGCGATCGGTGCAAACCGCGGCGGCGTCATCGCCTGTGCCGTCCTGCCGGCAGCCCTGCCCAGCTTCATCAATACCAGCCTCTTTGCCTTGGAAAAGGCGGTGCGCTCCTCGGTCGTCCTGGGACTGGTCGGGGCCGGCGGTATCGGGATCGAACTGAAGGTCGCTATCGACTTCTTCCAGTTCGATCAGGCCGCCACGATCATCCTCTGCATCTTCGTGCTGATCCTCGGCGTCGAACGGGTCAGCAGTTGGGCGCGCAGCAAGGTCATGTAGACATATCAGAAGGACTGGCGAGACGATGAGCCTGCAAACGACGGATACCGCCCATCTGGCCTGGGACAGTGCCTGGCAGACCGTGGCCGGTCGTGCCGACTGGCTGGTACCGGAGCCCGAAGTGATTCAGCTTGCCGCGCGGATGCGGCAAGTCGGCGCCTGCCGTGCTCTCGATTTGGGATGTGGTGTCGGCCGCCATGCTCTGGCCCTGGCTCGGCTGGGCTTTGAGGTGGAGGCCGTCGACGCCAGCCCCGCCGGCCTGTCCGAACTGGCAAGCAGCGCTGCGGCCGAGGGACTGGAGATCACCTCACATCGTGCTGCCATGACCGCTCTGCCCTGCGCGGCCTCCAGCTTCGACCTCGTTCTGTCCTGGAACGTGATCTACCACGGAGACCCGGAGGTGGTGCGCGGCGCCACTGCGGAGATCGGCAGGGTGCTGAAACCAGGCGGCATCTACCAGGGGACGATGCTGAGCAAGCGAAACCGGCATTACGGCCAGGGCCGCGAGATCGCTCCGAACACCTGGGTCGACGAAGCGGGGGAAGGCGACAAGGCGCACCCCCACTTCTTCTGCGATGCGGCCGAGCTTTGCGCTCTCTTCGGCGACTTCGAGCTGCTGACCTTGAGCCAGAACGACCACGGCAAGCCAGGTCACTGGCACTGGCATCTCACGGCCGAGAGGCGCTAGGTCACTCCTCGACCGCCGCCAACTTGAGCTGCCGCGCATCGGCGAAGACCAGCACCTCCAGCGGGGCATTGCGGCCGCGCAGTTCGATCTGACGATGCTCGGCGTCTTTCGAGGGCAGGCCGGCGCGCTCCGCCAGGGCGGCGGAAATCACCAGTTGAGCGCCGAAGTCCTTGGTGGCCTGTTCCAGGCGGCTGGCAGTATTGACCGTGTCTCCGACCGCAGTCAGGGAGACGGCCTCGCCCCAACCCATCTCTCCGACGATCGCCGGGCCGATATGGATGCCGATGCCAATCCGCAAGGGCTCGGGCTGATCTCCGGCGATCACCCGCTCGACCTCCTGCAAACCCTCGGCCATCAGCTGCGCCGCCTGCAGGGCATTGCGCGCGGCCTGTCGGCCGTTGTCGGACAGCGCGGGCTGCACACCGAAGAGCGCCATCACACCGTCGCCGATGAACTTGTCCACCCGGCCGCCGGCGCGCTCCACCGCCTCGCCCGTGGTGCGGAAATAGCGGTTCAGCAGAAAGACCACGTCGAAGGGCAGGCGGGATTCGGACAGGCGCGTAAAACCGCGCAGATCCGCGAAGAGCACCACGACCTCCCGTTCCTCACCCTGCAGGTAGCCGGGCCGCGCCCTGGCGTCGCGGGCCGTGACCTGAGGCGGCAGCAGCGGCTGAACCTCCAGATCGCCGGTCGGGCGGGTTTGACAGGCGAGCCGGACGTTCGGTGCGGCACCGACACGGCCGAGCACCTTCGCCTCCGCGGCGTCGGCCGGCGGCAGAGAGGAGAGGCCCTGCCCAATCCGGACCCGACAGGTCGAACAGCGCCCACGCCCACCGCAAAGCGCGGCATGGGGGATGCCCGCGCTCCGGCTGGCCTCGAGTATCGTGACACCCTGAGGCACGCGGACCCGCCGTCCGTCCGGGTAGGTCAGGATCACGACACCGCGCCGATGTTCCAGGAAACGACGCGCACGGCGTGCGGCGAGGGCGGCCAGCAGCAAGGTGCCGTAGCCCCACCAGACGTTGCGTTCCACCGAACCAATGAAGGCGCCCTTCTGCGGATCTGCGATCTGCGCGACCAAGGCGTCGGTGAAGGGCGGCTCCCGCTGCTCGTAGCGATACTGAGCCCATTGGCCGGCCATCCAGGCTCCAGCCAACGACAGGGTCGGCACCAGCAGGGCGGCGGCGAAGAGCCAGCTGCGCCAACGCGGGAACCAGGGTTTGAAGCGAAGCCAGAGATAGAGGCCAAGACAGCCGTGCAGCCAGACGACCAGGGTGACCAACAGCTGCCGCAGGCCGTTTTCCGGCGAAAGTACGAAGTAGATCAAGAGGATCGGCGGATAGCCGACCTCGGCGTCCAGGAAGGTCTCGATCCCCCGGGTGCCGGCGATGTGCAGGACCAGAAGCGGCGGGATGGCCAGCCCGAGCAAGAGCTGCCAGGTCTCACCCGGCCGCATCCGAAAGTCGCGCCGGGCGTAGAGCGCCCAGATCGCCAGGCCGGCATGCACGCTGAAGGCACCGTAGAGCAGAAAGAGTCCGATCGGCCCGTTCCAAACGAAGCCCTGGACGGTCAGGACCTTCTGCATCGCCGTAAGGGAGACCAGGCCGGCCATGTGATTGGTCAGGTGCGTGAGCACATAGGCGAAGAGGATCAGACCCGAGAACAGGCGGGCACGACGGATTACATGGAGGCTTTGCATGCCGGGCGGCCAGTCTCGCTTCGGGTCGTGCTGTCGCGGGCCTGCGGTCAGCTGGAACTGCGCGGATCATAGGCGCCGCAGTGTCTTTGTGCGACGCGAAAGGCGCCTATATGGTGCGATGCTTTCCGTTAAGGACCCTTACCCATGCCGCTCGCACTCACGACCGAAGAGCGCCGTCGGCGGCGCCTCCTGCTGCGCAGCGAAGGCCGCAGTCTGATGGACGACTCCGTCGCCAGCCCCTGCCTGTCGATCTGCAAGATCGACGACGTCACCAATCTCTGCGTGGGCTGCCGCCGATCGGTTGGCGAGATCACCGACTGGTCTCTGTTGACGGCAGACGAGAAGTCGAAGATCTCGGCCGAACTTCCGGCCCGCGATCCCGAAGGGCGTTCGGCCGCAGAGGCAACGGCCTAGTCAGGGATTGCGGCTCGATCAGAGACGGTGGCTTGATCGTTGCCGGCCTTTTCGCCACCTGATGGCGGACGACGGACAGTCATCGCGACAAGACAGCAAGAACAACGGAGAGATCGTCCATGCAATACCTGCACTCCATGGTCCGGGTCAGCGACGTCGAGGCCTCGCTGGACTTCTTCTGCAACAAGCTGGGCCTGGTCGAGGTCGAGCGGATGGACAATGAGAAGGGCCGCTTTACCCTGATCTTCCTGGCCGCGCCGGAGGACGTGGAGCGCGCCAAGTCGCCCCAGCGCGCGCCCATGGTCGAACTGACCCACAACTGGGATCCGGAAGACTACGACGGCGGGCGCAACTTCGGGCACCTTGCCTATCGCGTCGAGGACATCTACGCGGTCTGCCAGCGCCTGATGGACGGCGGCGTCACGATCAACCGCCCGCCGCGCGACGGCCGCATGGCCTTCGTCCGCTCGCCGGACGGCATCTCGATCGAGCTGCTTCAGCGCGGCGACGCCCTGCCGGCCCAGGAACCCTGGAGTTCGATGCAGAACACCGGCAGCTGGTAGAGCGGCGGCACGAACCAGAAAAAAGGCGGGCGGCGCACATCGGCGCCGCCCGCTTTCTTTCTAGGCACAAGCCTACTTGGCCCGCCTCGGACTCCTTAAGTCGACTACTGACCTTGGCCGAGCGAGAAGCCGGGCTCGCCGTCGAAGGTGCAGAGGTGTTCGGTCTTGATGAAGTCGACGCCGGACTCGGCGGCACGCACCTGCAGCGCCGCGATCTGGCCGTGATCGACCGCCGCCCCATCGGTCTCGGCCAGGAAACGGCAGCGCCAGTGATCGGTGCAGAAGGTCTCCGGCAGACCCTCGGGCCAGACTTTGACCCCCCGGTTGGTGATCATGGAGAGCTTCAGGCCGTTGCCGCCCAGCGGCTGTACCTTGTCGGCCAGCTGCTGCGGGCTGCCGTCGGCCCAATGCACGAAAAGGTCCACGCCGATGGTCTGCTTGGCTTTCGGCGCGGAGCGCACCGCCGGCGGAACGGCGATGCCCTTGCCGTCCTTGTTGTAGGACACGGCCGGCAGCGTTTCCGGCTGCTGTCCCAGGCGGGCGATCACCGCGTCGGCGAAGGCGCTCGTCCCGACCTTCTGACGGCTGACTCCCTCCGCGAAGATATCATAGGTATGGATGCCCTCTTCCAGGGTGCGCAGCCAGGCATTGTGAACCTGTTCGGCTGCCGCCGCCTGACCGATGTGCACCAGCATCATCACGCCGCCCAGCAGCAGCCCCGAGGGATTGGCCACGTCCTGCCCGGCCCGGCGCGGCGCCGAGCCGTGAATCGCTTCGAACATCGCGCAGTGCTCGCCGATATTGGCGGATCCGGCCAGGCCGACGGAGCCGGCAATCTGAGCCCCGACGTCCGAGAGAACGTCGCCATAGAGATTCGGCATGACGACGACGTCGAAAGCACCCGGCGTATCCGCCAACTTCGCGGCGCCGATGTCGATGATCCAGTGCTCGTTCTCGATCTCGGGATAGTCGGCGGCGACTTCGTCGAAGACCTTGTGAAACAGGCCGTCGGTCAACTTCATGATGTTGTCTTTGGTGAAGCAGGTGACCTTCTTTCGGCCGTTCGCGCGGGCGTATTCGAAGGCGTAGCGCGCGATGCGCTCGGAGCCGGGGCGCGAAATCAGCTTGAGGCACTGCACGACCTCGTCTGTCTGGCGGTGTTCGATCCCGGCGTAGAGATCTTCCTCGTTCTCCCGCACCACCACGACATCCATGTTCGGATGCTTGGTCTCCACGAAGGGATGATAGGACACGCAGGGGCGGACGTTGGCGAACAGCCCGAGCGACTTGCGCACGGTCACGTTCAGACTCTTGAAGCCTCCGCCCTGGGGCGTGGTGATGGGGGCCTTGTAGAAAACGCGCGTCCGGCGGAGCGAGTCCCAGACGCTGGCTTCGATTCCGGCGGTGTTGCCGCGGTTGTAGACCGCCTCGCCGATCTCGACCGTCTCGATATCGAGCTCGGCGCCGGCTGCCTGGAGGATACGCAGGCTCGCATCCATGATTTCGGGGCCGATACCGTCGCCGTGGGCAACGGTGATGGGCGTTGCGGCCATACTCTTTCCTCCTTGTGATCGCTTCTAGCGGGATTCTGCCGTTGCGAGATCTAGTTATCGGAGGTGACTTGGGGAACTTGATTCCGCCAATGGCAGCCATCGGCCTGCCCAATAGACCCGCTGGCCCGGCAGGCCCAACTGTCCAAGGCACCCACTCAAACGAGTTAGACCCCTCGCAGCCCTATCCGGCTTGCAGAGACTCCAGCGCGAGAAAGAGATTCTCGACCGGTTCGGCAAGCAGCGTCGGAGCCTCCGGCGTGACTTCGCCGAGCGGGGGCTGCAGTTCAGCGGTCGAGGAGATGATGTAGCGCGGCCGACCGCTCTCATCCAATAGGGGCAGGCGAAGAACCTCGACCAAGCCCTCGCGGCCGGATGGAAAGCGGTCGCGCACGGTCGTAAGCTGTGCGCAGGGTTCATCCAGGATGCGGTTCATCGCGACCATGACGCCGGCCTTGAAGCGCTCGGGGAAGATTTCGAAGATGTTCGCGCCTGTCGGATCGACGCCGATCCGCACGACAACCCGCTGACCGACGATGCGGACGCGGAAGTGCTCCGGTTCGATCCGCTCGTAGACGATCAGATCTCTTAGAAGCTGGGGTATCTCCGTCGGATCGATCGACGCCTCGTAGGGCATGTCGCCGTCGCGTTTCTTGGAAAGCCAATAGTCTAGCAAGGCCCGGTTGGTCGCATGGAGATCGGGCTGGGGACGGCTGTTACTTGAAGTACTGGAATTGTTAAGCGGCATTGCAGACCGGTAAATCACCTGTTGATCGGCTTAGACCAAGTCCTACGCGGACGGCGGTCATTGTATCCTCATATCAGCGTATCCGATATGGCGGACAATGCGAACCGAACCATGAAGGGGCAGGGGGCAGCGGCGGTTGGAGACCGCGCTTGGCCGTGGAGTTGCGGCATATCCCACGAAAACAACGCAATGCGCCGAGGCCTGCCCCAACGACCTTTGCCCAAGGCTCGGGCGCGGTCTCCGTGCGAAGAGTATGGAGCGGGTTTGCGGGCCGGTTTGGAACTCGTTTGAAGTACTGTTCAAACGAGGACAATCCGGCGCGACTGTTCGAACGAAGTCCAATCAGTCGTTGATCCTAAAGAGCGCGCATGTCTGAGAAGTGGCGCGCCCGGGAAGATTCGAACTCCCAACCTCCTGATCCGTAGTCAGGTGCTCTATCCAGTTGAGCTACGGGCGCTTGCCGGACGAAACAAAGCGACGCTGTTGCGCGCCCTCCGTCGCGAAGGCGCGGAACATAGGCGAATCGAATCGGGGGTGCAAGAGGCAGTCGGACCCCTGTTTTTTCCGTTCCGAGCCTGCTCTTAAACCACCTTTTCATATTTCCACAGCCAAATAAGGCATGGTTAACGCAAGTGCAGAGTGGCGCTCGACAAGTCCACCGAAATGCGGGCAAATCCGCTTGTCCCCTTGTGACCGCTCAAGTACCATCGCGGCGCCGGTTTTGGGGGATTCGGCATTGGTTTTGTTTAGCCTTAGGGAAAACCTGGGTCTCGGCCAGGCAATTCTTTGCCGAGTCTTGCAACAGCATGAGATGATCGAATGAAGCGCGTTACAGGCCTGACCGCCGTCGCCGTCGCTATTACGATTCTGACCGGATGTTCGGCTGACGAGTCGGATCTGTGGCCTTCGCTCGAAGCGACCGATCCAGGAGGCAGCGCGCAGACCGCCCAGCAGCAGGCCCCAGTCGGCGGGCCGCTCCAGCTCAACACGGGCGTCTTCGAACCGGCCGGCGTGACACCGGGCCAGCCCACAGGTACGGCCGTCGGTGAGAGGGTGCAGGGACTGCGAACCGACCTTCAGCGCTTGCAGACACAGGTCGGCGAAGAGAACCGGCTGCTCCAGCAGTACCGGGGCGACGCCCGGGAAACCGCCCGCGACTACAACACGATGGTCAGCACCATCAACGCGCGCCTCCAGACCGGCACGACTCCGGGCAATCCCGATCTCGTACAGCTTTGGAACCAGTCGCAACTCGAACTGTCCCAGGTTGCGACCTCGATCAACAACATGAACGCGCTGGCCGCCAATACCGGCGCCACGGCGTCACTTTCGACCTTCCTGCTCGACTCCGTGCGCGCGACCTACGGTTTGCAGGGCGCCGTCGACGAGGACCATCGGCAACTCGCCATCCTGGAGGACGAAACCAACCAGACCGTGGTTTTGATCGAACGCCTGCTGACCGAGCTGACGGAGGACGTGCAGCGTCAGACCGCCTATCTCGCTTACGAGCGTTCGGAGCTGACAGCCCTGTCCGTCGCGATCCGGAACGGCGAGTTCTTTGCCGGTAGCCTGGGCAACCGCTCTTTCGGGATCGCGCCGCCGCCGCCCTTGGGCGGCGCTGCCGGTCTTGTCGGCCGGACGCAGCCGCTGGTCGTGATCCGCTTCGACCAACCGAGCGTCGAATACGAACCGGCGCTCTACGGCGCCGTCAACCAAGCCTTGTCGGCGCGGCCCAACGCCGGCTTCGACGTCGTGTCGGTGGCCGCAGGCTCCGGCGCGCAGGGTCAGGTCGCCTTGGCCAGCGGCCGCTCCGTGCGGAACGCCGAGGCGGTGGTCCGCTCCTTGACCGATATGGGTCTGCCGGCCGACCGGGTTTCGATCTCGGCGGCGACCAACCCGGCAGCGGCAGTGAACGAAGTCCACATCTACCTTCGCTAGCCTTTACACCCAGCGGCACTGGTTTTCGGCGCGCGGCGCCCCATCGTTCTCCATAACGTCCCAAGCGTCGTCGATCTCGGCCGCTTGGGAGGATGGGAGAGAGACCGGGGGGTATTGGGTCTATGCGCAGCCGCTTCGCCGCCTTCGTTTTTTCGATTCTGATCGCAGCCGGCAGTTTCCTGCCGGATCCAAACAGGGCCCAGGCCGACTCGGTCACTCCCTCATCTGCGGCTGCCATCCGCCTTGTGATCGAGAGTCAGATCGATGCCTTCCAGCGAGACGATAGCGTCGAGGCCTTCTCCTATGCCTCTCCCTCGATCCGCAGCAGATTCCGGGACGCGGAGGTCTTCATGCGGATGGTCCAGACCGGCTACCCACAGGTCTACCGGCCAAGCGTCGTAGAGTTCCAGGAGCTCGACCTGGATGCAGGTCGGGCCGTGCAGGGCGTTTTCTTCGTCGGCCCCGACGGTCGCGGGGCACGCGCGCTCTATTTCATGGAGCGACAGCCCGACGGCGGCTGGAAGATCGATGGCGTTCAGGTGCAGCGCTTGCCGGAGACCGCCACCTAGGGCGGACGTCAAGCGGATGGCGTTGGACGCGAGCGGAGGCGAGAAGGCCCGTCCGGCGTGCAACGCATGGCCCTCACGACGTCTATAGACGTTGTCACTCGCTTCGCCCTCGGCTAGACCGCTGGAAACAGGGGCCGGCAGCAATGAGGGCAGAATGACGGGTCGAACTTTTCCGGTGTCTTGGTGGGAGCTGCATCGCGATGCCAAGGCACTGGCCTGGCGGTTGATGGACAAGTCCGACCGGACCGGTCCCTTCAAGGGGGTGGTCGCGGTGGCCCGCGGGGGGATGGTGCCGGCGACGATCGTCGCACGCGAACTGGAACTGCGCCTGGTCGATACGCTGTGCATTGCGTCCTACGACGATCGTGAGAAAGGCGAGGTCCAGGTCCTGAAGTCGATCGAGGGCGACGGCACGGGGTGGGTCATCGTCGACGATCTGGTGGACACCGGAGCCACGGCCCGCGCGGTGCGTGAGCTGCTGCCCAAGGCCCACTTCGCCACGGTCTACGCCAAACCCGAGGGGCGCCCAACGGTCGACACCTTTGTCACCGAGGTCAGTCAGGACACCTGGATTCTCTTTCCCTGGGACAGCGAGATGCAAGAAGTTCCCCCGATCGCCCGAAGCCGTTAGAGCAGAATCGCTCCAGGCGACCTCGCTTCAGCGCTGCCACCCAAGCCGCGACTCGCACTCCAAACCAGATCGCGACCAATCAGTCGGGCCGGTCTAGCGCCGCTCGACGGCGATGTTATCGATCAGGCGTGTCTTGCCAAGCCAGGCAGCAGCAAACAGGCGCGCAGGCCGATCCACCTGCCGCAGCGAGGTCAGATCGTCGGCGGCATGGAGAGCCAGATAGTCGATCTTGGTGAAGCCGGCGGAGCCGAGACGTTGCTGTCCTTCAGGTAACAGCAAGGCCGCCGGCGTCTGGCCGTCTGCGAGCTCCTCGGCGATTTCGGTCATCACGCGATGGAGCAGGGGCGCCACCGCCCGCTGCGACGGCGTCAGGTTGACGTTGCGGGAGGAAAGGGCGAGACCGTCCGGCTCACGTACGGTCTCCACCGGCACGATCTCGACAGGTATGTCCAGATCGCGAACCATCTGCCTCACGACCGTAAGCTGTTGGTAGTCCTTTTCCCCAAAGTAGGCTCGGTCGGGCAGCGACTGCAGAAGAAGCTTGCAGACGACCGTCGTCACTCCGTTGAAATGGCCGGGGCGGTAGAGCCCCTCCAGAACGTCGCTCACCCCTGTGACCGCGACGGTCGACGCAAACCCCGGCGGGTACATGTCTTCGACCTGAGGTGCGAAAAGCAGGTCGCAGCGATGCTCCGCCAACAGTTTGGCATCGCGCCCCTCGTCGCGTGGATAGCGGCTGAGGTCTTCCTTGCGGTCGAACTGTTTGGGATTCACGAAGATCGTCGCCACGGCGTGATCACAGTCAGCGATCGCCCGGTGTAGCAGCGCCAGGTGACCAGCATGCAGGGCGCCCATCGTCGGAACCAGGCCGATGCTCTCGCCAACGCGGCGCCAAGGGCGCGTCGCCGAGCGCAGCTCTTCGACACGGCGCAGAACGGGCAGGGACGCGACAGGCGCGCTCATGCACCGCGTTTCCGGTAAAGCTGATCCGGCCCGGGGAAGGCGCGGCTGCGCACGTCGCCGGCATAGCGCTCCACGGCCTCCTCGACAAGGGGCGCGAGGTCGGCGTAGCGCTTGACGAAGCGGGGAACCCGGGCCCCCGACAGGCCGAGCAGGTCTTCCGTCACCAGGATCTGGCCATCGCACTCCGCCGCGGCTCCGATGCCGATGGTGGGGATCGAGACGGCTTGGGTGACCTCCTGCGCCACCTTCTCCAAGGTCCCTTCGATCACCAGAGAAAAGGCGCCGGCTTCGGCGACCGCGCGTGCATCCGCAAGCACCTTCTCGGCCTCCGACGCGTCGCGTCCACGCGCTCGAAACCCGCCGAGCGTATTGACCGCCTGCGGCGTGAGGCCGACGTGCCCCATCACCGGCACACCGCGCCTAACCAGGAAGGCGACGGTTTCAGCCATTTCCTCTCCGCCTTCCAGCTTGACGGCGGCCGCACCGGCCTCCGCAAGAACACGGGCGGCGTTGCGGAAGGCCTGCTGCGGGCTTTCCTGGTAGCTGGCGAAGGGAAGATCCACGACAACGCAGGCGCGCCGGCTTGCGCGAGCGACGGCACGCCCGTGGGCAATCATCGTCTCCAGCGTGACAGCAAGCGTCGAGTCCGCGCCGTAGAGCACCATTCCTAGGGAGTCGCCGACCAGAAGCACATCGACGTAGGCGTCGAGCAAACGCGCCATGGGCGCGCTATAGGCGGTCAGGCAAACGAGGGGAGTCGTTCCCTTGCGTCCGGCAATCTCCGGGACCGTCAGACGCTTGACGGCTGTGTTCCGGTCTGTTTCAGCAGGTGTCGTCGACACGGCTTGGCAGGCTCCGCACTGTGCCATCGCCCGGCGGGCAGCCAACGGCGTGACATGGAGTGTCTATCGTTGCCTGGGAGCAATAGCTTGCCGGATGCAGGAAAGGCAATGTGCAAGCCAGGGTCGAAGCTCGGCCGGTTGCCTGGCGCAACAGGCGAAGACTGCCGAAGTCAGGCGCCTTCCGCGATCTCGCGCAGGGTCTCGATGCTGGTCAGTTCGACTTTGTTGGCCGGTAGCAGGGAGATCAGATTACTGGTCTTCAGCTGCGTGAAAGTCCGGCTCACAGTCTCGGTGGTCAGGCCCAGGTAATCGCCGATGTCGGTTCGACTCATGGGGACGGCAATCGGGTTCGGGCTCTGCCCCCGCTGCTCCGACCGTTTGGAGAGCATCAGCAGGAAGCTCGCTATCTTTTCCTTCGCCGTCTTCCGTCCGAGCAGGAGCATCTGTTCCTGTGCGACCGCGAGCTCGTGGCTGGCCATCCCGAGCAGCCGACGCTCCATTTTCGGGAAGCGCTCCAGCAACTGCTCGAGCTTCTTGCGCGGGAACTTGCAAACGGCGGAATGAGTGATCGCCTCGGCGCTGTAGGCATAGAGGCTGTTGTGCGCCAAGCCCATGAAGTCGCCGGAAAAGAGGAAACCGATCACCTGCCGACGTCCGTCGGGCAGCAGCTTGTAGACCTTCACGGCACCGGCGGTCACGCTGTAGACGTTGTCGGCCGGCTCGCCCTCGTCGAACAGTGGATCGCTGGGATGCAATTCGACCGTGCTGACGATCTTCGCGACATGGCCAAGCTCGTCCTCGGCCATCGGGGCACAAAAGGTCAAATGACGAACCGAGCAGGCACCGCAAGGCGAAGGACCGGACTCGACATCGTCTTGCTCGCCGGCTGTCGCCGGTCCCAGTTCGCGGATGCGAGTGACGTCGAAAGGCGACATGGTTCTGCGCTGCGTCCCGATCCGATATCGCATGGTGTCATAGGAATTTGACGCATCCGACCGGACAATTCAACAGCTACCGAACGGACCGGAGCGTTTATACACCAAAATTCGTTCGCATCACCACAGTTTTAAGCACCTGATAAAACTGGATAATGGGTCTCGCAAAGCCAGGAAACGGAGGCGTTGACGCAGATCAAGGCGGTTGCCGCGCAGCGCGCCTCAGGATGCAGTCATGCGCTGCCCCGACCCTCTAACTCGCGATCAGAGCCTCACTCCCGTGGAAAATCCGCCTCCCGCGAGACACGTGACCGTCAAGTCGCTGACGACCGACCGGATCAATCAGGCCTTCCCACTGATCCAAGCGATCGCGCCGAGTATCGGTCTGGAGGAATGGCAGGCCTTCGCGCAGGCTCTCCTGGTCGGCGAGACCGACACGAGACCTGCACCCGGCGGTATCTTGATCGCCGAAGACGAGCGCGGCTACATCGCCGGGCTGGTGGCTTACCGGCTCCAGCGCGATCTGTTGCAGGGCCCGGTGCTGGTGGCCGAACACTTCATCGCCTTCGATTTCTTCGAACGCGACCGCATTGCCGACGCCCTGGCACGTGCGTTGGAGGGTCTTGCCGCCGGTCATCGTTGTGCCGCGATCCACACCGTCTTGCCGGAGGGCGTCGAACGGGCCCGCCGCCAATGGCTGGTGGATATGCTTCAGCATCGCGGCCACGCGCCGCACTGCTTCGCGCTGCAAAAGCCGATGATGCAAAAGTCCGCGAGTTCGAAAAGCCTGCCTATGCCGCAGACGCCTTGAACGCTAGACTGTTTGTATCGTGCGTTTCGATCTTCACAGCCTTCGTTCGGATTCGATGCTCCCTGCGCCACGTCCTGCCCCTGGGTGGATGCCAAGCCGTGCCTCGATGCAGGCGCTAGGGCGCGCGCTGCTCTGCGCCGCAGCCTTGTTTTTCCCAGCGTCCGGCGCCGGCGCGCAAGACACGCCGGCACCGGCTGTCGAGGGGCGTACGGTCGAGGAGCGTGTTGGCGACGCACCGGCACGGGCCATGGTCTCCGCAGCAAACCCTCATGCCACGCGAGCCGGCGTCGCCATGCTGGAGGCTGGCGGCAGCGCCATCGACGCGGCTATCGCGGCTCAGCTGGTGCTGGGTCTGGTCGAGCCGCAGTCCTCAGGCATCGGCGGCGGTGCCTTTTTGCTGCACCACGATCCGGAAAGCGGCCAAACGCATGCCTACGATGGACGCGAGACCGCGCCGCTAGCCGCCACGGCAGATCAGTTCATGACGCCCGAAGGCGAGCCTCTCGGATTCTGGGATGCCGTCCCGGGAGGGCTTTCGGTGGGCGTGCCCGGCATCCTGAAGATGCTGGAACTGACCCATAGCGAACATGGCACGCTCGCCTGGGCGCGGCTGTTCGAACCAGCTATCGCGCTGGCCGAGAACGGGTTTCTCATCTCGCCGCGTCTGCATGAGTTGATCGCACGGGACAAGTTGCTTCCCAAGTTCCCGGCGGCCGCGTCCTACTTCTACACGCCCGCGGGCAACCCACGACCGGTCGGCACCGTCCTGCGAAACCCAGCCTATGCGGAGACCCTCCGCAGGATTGCGGCCGAAGGAACCTCGGCCTTCTACGAGGGCGAGGTGGCGGCGGACATCGTCGCGGCGGTACGCAATTCGGCCATCAATCCGGGACGCATGACACAAGCCGATTTGGCCGCTTATCGTGCCGTCCGCCGCGCACCGCTGTGCGGTTCCTATCGCGATTGGGAGGTTTGCGGCATGCCTCCCCCGACCTCGGGCGGCACGGCTGTGTTGCAGATCCTGGGCCTGCTCGAACCGCACGATCTGGGCGCGGCCGGTCCCACGGACCCGCGAACGCTGCATCTTCTCGCCGAAGCCGGAAAGCTCGCCTTCGCGGACCGCAACGCCTTCTTGGCCGATTCCGATTTCGTTGAGGTGCCCCTCGACAGCCTGCTCGACCCGGACTACCTCGCCAGCCGAAGCGGGCTGATCGACCCGCAACGCGCTCTGCCGGAGGCCCAGCCCGGTCTGGAACTGCGCAACGGATCCTGGGTTCAGGTCGAACCGCCCTCGACCAGCCATCTCAGCGTGATCGATGCGGACGGGCGGGCTGTCTCCATGACCAGTTCAATCGAGAACGCCTTCGGATCCCGGCTTATGGTACGGGGATTCCTGCTCAACAACCAGCTGACCGACTTCGCCTTCGTGCCCGAGGTTGACGGAGGCCCCGTCGCCAACCGCGTCGAACCGGGCAAACGCCCGCGCAGTTCCATGTCGCCGACCCTGGTGTTCGACGACGGCGGCGCGTTGCGTCTGGCCATCGGCTCGCCGGGCGGCAGCCGGATCATCGGCTACGTTGTGCGTGCCTTGACCGGGATCCTCGACCACGACCTGAGCGTCCAGGCGGCAATCGACCTGCCCCACGTGGTCAACCGAAACGGCCCGACGGACGTGGAGTCCGCAACGGCCGCCGCGTCAGCCAAAACCGCCTTGGAGGCGCTGGGACACGTCGTTCGGGAGACCGAGATGACCAGCGGTCTGCACGGCATTTTCGTGCTGGAGGACGGGAGCCTCGCGGGCGGGGCCGACCGACGCCGCGAGGGCGTAGCCTTGCCAGCCAATGTCCAGCCCTGAGCTGGCAAGCCAGCGCCCGGCCCTTCGCCTGAAACCGAAAGCGGAGCGGCGCCTGCTGCTCGGCCACCCCTGGGTGTTCTCCAACGAGCTTGAGATGACCCCGGAGACCAAGGCGCTCGAGCCAGGTGCCTTGGTGCGTTTGGAAACCCACAACGGCCGGCCGCTCGGCGTCGCCAGCTTCAACCGTCACACCTTGATCGCTGCCCGGGTTCTGGCGCGCGATTCCGAAGCGGAGATTGACGAGGCTTTCCTGTTCGAGCGCCTGCGGCGCGCCATGCAACTCCGCGAGACGCTGATCGAAGGACCCTACTACCGGCTTTGTCACGCGGAGGCCGACGGCCTGCCCGGCCTGGTGATCGACCGCTTTGGCGATACGGTTGTTCTGCAAAGCAACACGGCCGGCATGCAGGCCCTGGAAGCGCCGTTGATCGGGGCGGTGGAGGCGCTGCTGCGGCCCCGCAAAGTGATTCTGCGCAACGACACGCCGGCGCGCAAACTGGAGGGCCTGGAGCAGGAGACACGGGTCCTCGGCCACGACCACGATGGCGACGCGGACGCCCCCATCGAGCTGCATGAGCGGGGCGCCCGCTTTCTCGCGGACCCGCTGCGCGGCCAGAAGACCGGATGGTTCTATGACCAGCGGGACAACCGTCATTGGGTTGCGCAGCTGGCGCCTGGCGCCCGTGTGCTGGACGCCTACAGCTACTCCGGCGGTTTTGCGATTCAAGCCGCGCGGGCCGGCGCCGAGTCAGTTGTCGCCCTTGACCGCTCGGACGGCGCCTTGTCACTGGTCGAAGCGGCCGCTGCACTGAACGGCGTGGACTCTCGGATCACCACCCGTCGGAGCGACGTCTTCCGCGAACTGACGTCGCTTGCGGCCGCCGGCGAGCGTTTCGATCTGGTGATCTGCGACCCTCCGGCTTTCGCAAAGTCCAAGAAGGACCTCCCACAAGCCCTGCGTGGCTATCGGAAGCTGACCAAGCTCGCCGCCGGGCTCGTGGCACCCAACGGCTACCTGGTTCTCTGTTCCTGCTCTCATCACGTCGGCCCGGAGACCTTCGCCGAGCAATGCGCGCGCGGGCTGGGAGACGCAGAGCGCCCAGCCCGTATCCTGCACCGCGCAGCCGCGGCTCCAGATCATCCGGTGCATCCCCTGTTACCGGAGAGCGACTACCTGAAGTGTCTGGTCTTCGCGCTCGACTGAGCCGGCGAACCGGCTTGACGTTCCAGGCCTTCGCCGCTCCTATCTCTGCTTATTCGGCATCGGCCCACCCGGCATCGAAGGAGGAGGCGGTGATCGACCATGTCTCCGTTCCCGTCGCCGACCTGGAGGCGAGCAGAGTCTTCTACAGCCGAGTTCTGGAAGCGCTCGGCATGACCCTTCTGGTCGAGCGCGAAAGCACCGTCGCCTTCGGCAAACGCTATCCCGAGTTCTGGCTGAACGCACGGCCCCGTCTCAAACCGGCAGCGCCCGATAGCGGGCACCATGTTGCCTTGCGAGCCCGCTCCCGCGAAGCGGTCTCGGCATTCCATCGGATCGCGCTCGCGGCCGGCGGCAAGGATGCTGGCGCACCGGGCGAGCGGCAGGCCGCCATGACGGACTACTTCGGGGCCTTCATCTTCGATCTGGACGGCAACAAGGTCGAGGCTCTGACCTTTCCGACATAACCCCGGAGCCGGTTCGCCTCAGGTGGGATCCTGCTGTACTCACAAGAGTGAGAGTGCGACGTCCGCAGAGCCGCAAGGCCATACCCGGCGGCTCACTCACTGCGTCAGTTGTCTTGCGGAATCCGCTCGGTCTTACCGGACTCGCTGTCGTAGCCGCGTTTGATCTGCCAGAAGATAAAGAAAACCGAAAAGAGAGCCATGATCAGACCGGCTTCGTAGAGCGCGCTCTCGTGGGTTCTGGCGGCCAGGAAGAGACCGACCAAGCCGATCAGACCGACAGACACGCAGACGATGATTCGCAAGACCATGACACAGCTTCCCTCTCAGACCCTATCTTGGATAAAGCCACTCCATCCAAACTTCCCGCGTTGACCCAAATCAAGCCGCGGTCTTGGCACCTCGGCCGTTGCGCCGCAGATGGGCTTTCTGGCGCAGCGGCAGCACGACGCGAAAGCGGGTCCCGCTCGCGTCGCTGTCCTGCAGGCGGATGTCGCCTCCATGAGCACGCAAGAGTTCCTTCGCGATGGCCAGACCCAAACCGGTCCCGCCGCTGCGAGTGGAGACGGCGAAGGGCTGGAACAGTCGCTCGCGTGCCCGGGCCGACAGACCCGAGCCGTTATCTTCCAGATCGACCTCGATCTTGCCGGTCTCTTGACGCGCGCTGATCGTCACCCGCTCGGCCCCTGCCTGGTAGGCGTTGCGGGCCAGGTTCTCGAAAACGCGGAAGAGCTGGTTGCGATCGGCCTCCACAACGGTACCCGGCACAACGCGATTGTCCCAATGGCGAGCGCTAGGGTCCTCGGCGGTCACATCGCTGCCAACGTCCGCCAGCAGCGCGTTGAGATCGACCCGGCAGAGATCGAGCGATGCAGGACCTTCACGCGTGAAGTCGAGAGTCCGCCCACAGAGTTCGACCGCGCGGTCGATGGCGTTGAACAGGGTCGGCGCGACGCGCCGTACGTCGGAATCGCTCGACTGGGCGAGACGGTCTGAAATCAATTGAGCCGTCGATAGCATGTTCCGCAGGTCGTGATTGATCTTGGTGACGGCAATACCCAAGGCCGCCAAGCGGGTCTTCTGATGAAGCGAGGCGCGCAAGGCCTTCTGCATGTCATGAAGCTCGCGCTCGGCCACGCCGATCTCGTCGGTGCGCCCCGAGGGCTTGACCACGCGCGCGCCATCCTCGGGGTCGTCGCGAAAGGCGATCATGTTCTCCGTCAGGCGACGCATCGGGACAACAATGACCCGGAAGAGCGTCAGATAGACGAGCCCTGCGGTGATCGCGGAGATCACCAGACTGAGGCCGAGAATGCGCCAACCGAAGGCCCGCAGTTCGTCCTGCAGCGGTGCCTCGTCCATCACCAGTTCGACCAGGGTGCCAGGGCTCTGCGGCGACCAGCCCACGACCCGAATGATCCGGTTCCCCTTCGGCAGCAGGCAACCCACCGCGTCCCGGATCAGGGTAAAGAATCCCGCCTCGCGCAGGTCGTAACTGGCTTCGACGCTGCCGACCGGCTCTTCGATCATCAGCATCAATTTACCTGGGCGCCCCGGCTTCTGCAGCGCAACCGAATAGACCCCGATATGACTGAGAATCTCCCGCTCCGAAACGGGATCGATCATGTCGACCGGGCTCGCCTCTAGCGCCAGGATGCCGAGGTGCCCGGTCGCCAGCTTTTCTTCGAGGTAGCCCAAGCGATAGCGGCCGACCGACGGCGCGAAGATCAGCACTTCGGCCAGCATGACGAAGAGTACCGTCAACACCAGGAGGCGCGCCGACAGGCTACGTGCCGGCGGCGGCAGGGAAAGGCGGCGCGACGGACGAGCCTCGGTCATAGGAGCTTTATATCACTCGCCGCGGAAGTCAAACACACTGGCTGAACGAACTCTCCATCTGCCGGGCGCCCTATCGCCCGCACATGAACGTTTAAAAAAACACTGCGGCACGCCCGCCGGAAAGACAAACGCTCCCGGCGGGCGCACCGCGCATGAAAAACCTGCCTTGGAAAGCTTAGTTCTTCTTCGCAGCGCAAGGATTACAGGGGTTGCAGGGGTTGGCGGCCGCACAGGGGTTCTTTGCCGCACAGGGATTGCAGGGGTTGGCGGCCGCGCAAGGATTACAGGGGTTCGCCGCTGCGCAGGGGTTCTTGCCGGCACAAGGGTTACAGGGGTTGCAGCTCGCGATCTGCAGGCTCCCCGGACCGCCCTGAGCATGTGCTACGGCGGCGGGCAGTGCCACGGCAGCAGTCGCCAAACTTGCAACCGACAGCGCCAGAGCCGTCTGCTTCGCCGTTTTCTTAATCATGAGGTGCGACTCCCAATCCTGTTCGGGCAAGGCCAAGTCGGCCTAATGATTCGGGGCGGATCTTCTTGATCGCGCCCATCGTCATCAGAATGAAGCGCCAAGGTCATAAGCTCGAATCACGATGGCGCACCTGGCTTCACCTTCGCGTGAGAGCGACGTGTGGGTTCGTATCAAGGCAAACGGAGCAGCAGGCGAACGATCTTCTTGGTGCGTTCGCTGAAAAGCTTCGGCGTATAAAAGCTGCCGGCTGCCCGTTTGCTGACTTCGCCCAAGGTTGGATAAGGAGCGATGACCTGAGCCATCGCGGAGACCTTGAGCCCGTTGGCGATCGCCAAGACCCAAGGCTGGATCAACTCACCGGCCTGCGGCCCGACGATGGAGGCCCCGAGGATCTTGCCCTTGGGTGTCACCACGGCCTTGCAGAAACCGTCCGTCTGGCGCTCGGCGCGCGCCCGGTCGTTCTCGTGGAAGTCCCAGCGCAGAATATTGATCCGCTCCCCGGCCTTCCGGGCCATGGCTTCCGTCATACCGACATGGGCAAGCTCGGGTTCGGTATAGGTCACCCAGGGAACGGCCCTGTTCTCGACCTTCGCGGGCAAGCGGAACAGGGCATTCTTGATCACGATGCCGGCGTGGTGACCGGCCATGTGGGTGAACTGCGGACCGCTCGCCACGTCGCCTGCAGCGTAAACGCGTTTGTTCGTGGTGCGGAGCCGGGCATCGGTCTTGATGCCCCGCCGGTCGTAGACAACTCCGGCTGCCTCCAAACCGAGGCCTTCCACAGTGGGCTGTCGCCCGGCCGCAAGCAGCAGATGGGACCCCTCGATCCGTTCCTCCTGCCCGTCGCGCTCGACCGTAGCCGCGACGCCGTTGCCGGCCGCCCCCACGCGCAGGACCTTGGCCTGCTCATGGAGCTCGACACCGTCCCGGGTGAGTCGTCGGCGCACCACCTCCACCAGTTCGGGATCGTCATTCTGCAGGATGCTGCCCATTTCGATCAGGGAGACACGCGCACCGAGATGCCGAAAGGCCTGTCCCAGCTCGCTGCCGATCGGCCCGCCACCGATGACGATCAGATGCTCCGGCCGTTCGGTGAGGGAGAACACCGTCTCGTTGGTCAGATAGGAGATCTGCTCGAGCCCTTCGATCGGCGGCACGGAGGCCCGCGATCCGGTTGCGACCACGAACCGCTTGGCCCGGATCCGGGCCCCGTTCGCGACAACGGTGCGCTCGTCTTCGAAAAGCGCGGCATCCCGGATCACCTCGACACCGAGACCGGTGAAACGCTCCTCGGAGTCCAACGGCGCAATACCGTCGATGACGTCCCGGACATGCGCGTGCACACGGGCGAAGTCGACACTGGGCTCCGGCGTATCGATGCCGAAGGCTGCCGTGTGCCGCCAGGCCTGTGCGGCCCGGCCGGCCACCAGAAGGGACTTCGAGGGGACGCAGCCGTAGTTCAGGCAGTCGCCGCCCATCTCCGCCTTCTCGATCAGCACCGTTTGCGCGCCCATCTGACTGGCGCCGGCAGCGATCGACAGACCGGCGGAGCCGGCCCCGATCACGCAGATGTCGGGTTCCAGAGACTTCATGGGGAACTCTCCCTTGATCGGGCTCGAGAAAGACCGGGCTTTCGGCTCTCAGCGCGCCGCCGCGCGGCGGGCTTTCCAAGTCTTGTAGACGACCGGCAGCAACGCGAGCACTGCGAGGCCGAGGATCGGGGTCAAGATGTCGAAGCTGAAAATGATTCCGATATCGGGCGTTTCGCCTTGATCGAAGAGCGCGCCGACGCCGTTGCCAAGACTGGCATAGACGAACGTACCGGGAACAATGCCCAGGATCGTGCCGATCAGGTAGGTGCGCAACGACACGCCCAGGAAGGCCGGGACCAGGTTGACCAGCCAGAAGGGAAAGATCGGGATCAGGCGCAGGACCAGCAGATAGCTGAGCGCATTCTCGCGAAAGCCGGTCTCCATCCGCTTGAGTGTCCCGCCGACCCGTTTGCGCAGACTGTCGCCCAGCGCCGTTCGAGCCGCCAGAAACACGGCTACGGCGCCCAACGTCGCCCCAGTCACAACGTAAAACGTCCCGAACAGAGTGCCGAAGAGAAACCCGCCCAGGACCGTTAGCACGGCGCCTCCGGGTATGGAAAAGGCCGTCGCCAGGGCATAGGCGAAAACAAAGGCCAAGACCGTGCGCAACTCATAGCGCTCGACCTGATCGAGCAGCCAACCGCGGTTCTCTGCCAGCGCGTCGAAACTCAGGTAGCTGCCCAGGTCGAAAGCCAGCCAGGCCGTCGCACCGACGCCGAAGAGCAGAACCAGCGGCAACCAGCGGAGCCAGGTGCCGCCGCCGCGACGGGCAGCGTCCGGTCGATCGGCTGCCTCCGAAGCGGCCGAGTCCTGCAAAGCGTCGTCGTTCTTGATGTTGCCGTCGATCTGGGTCATGGCCGCTGTGAAGCCCTTTGCGCTTTGGCGGGAGGCCGTCGGTTTAGCCAGGCAACGATGTAAATTTCGTTGCGCTCACCGGCCAATCACCGATCGGTGATAGCTGTGGACCACATCACAAACGCTGCGGCGCCCTTCGCCGGTCTCGCCGACGGGCGCTCCCTTGAGTCATTTCCGCAGATCGGCCAGCCCGATCGCCTCGTCGGATCTGCCGCCAGTCGGCAACGTTGACACCTTGCGGGGGCAACTCTATACACCCTCGGCAATTCCGCACAGCTTCCGTGGTATGGAGACGTCAAGTGAAGCGCACGTATCAGCCGAGCGCGCTGGTCCGCAAGCGTCGGCACGGGTTTCGTTCCCGCATGGCGACCAAGAACGGCCGCAAAGTTCTGGCCCGCCGCCGCGCCAAAGGGCGCAAAGTCCTCTCGGCCTAGGCGATGGTTCGGAAAGGTGCTCGACGGCACCTTTCCTGAAAGTTTCGTCCTGCTTCCTTTGCCGGCTGGCCAAAGACAGCGTCCCGCGGGGCGCGGTCGCCGGGGAGAGTCTGGCGAAACGGTGCAACAGCGAATGGCCTCGAATCCCAGTGCCGACAGTCAGGTCAAGCGGCTCGGACGCCTCAAGTGCCGCAGCGAGTTCCTGCGCGCGGCTGGGCGCGGACGCAAATGGGCGACCCCGGGACTGGTGTTGCAGGCCTGCCAACGACCGAAGAGCGCCGACGGCGAACCCGACTTGGCTCCGCCGCGGGTCGGCTTTACGGCAAGTCGAAAGGTCGGCTCTGCCGTGCAGCGCAACCGTGCGCGACGGCGTCTGCGCGCTGCGGCAGACTCTCTTCTGCCCAACGTGGCGCGCGCCGGGACCGACTACGTCTTGATCGCACGTGCCGGAACCTTGACCCGGCCCTATCGGGATCTGATCGGCGATCTGGAAACCGCCTTGAAGCGCGTGAACGAGGCTCGCAACCGCCGCCGACCGCCCCCATCTCGGGCAAGTGGCAAGACTGCGGAGGACGGGCGATGAGCAAGCCTGCGGCCCAAGAGAGCGCTTTACCGGACGAACGGCAGTCTCCGGCCGCCAGGCTCGGCCTGCCGCTGGTCTGGTTTCTGTCGGGACTGATCTGGATCTACCGCTTGCTGCTCTCGCCGCTCTTGCCTCCAGCGTGCCGTTTCGCGCCGACCTGCTCGGCCTATGCCCTGGAAGCGTTGAAACGGCATGGGCCGATCCGCGGAAGCTGGCTCGCCGCACGTCGGATTGCACGATGCCACCCCTGGGGCGGCCACGGCTATGATCCCGTGCCCGAGCGGACCCGCCCGGAACGGCCACGGCTGTCCGGCGATACCGGGTCGCCTGCTTGTGCCTCCACTCTCTCGACCTGCGGTCACGCAGCCCACAGGAGCCGATAAGCCCACCATGGACCAGAAGAACCTGATCCTCGCCATCGCCCTGTCGGTCGGCATCATTCTGCTTTGGGAAGTCTTCATCAGCGGACCGCAACGCGAGGCCCAGCTTCAGCAGCAGCAGCAGATCGAGCGGCAGGCCGAGCAGCCGACGGGCACCGAGATCGCACCCACCCTGGAGGGCGAGACCGCAGCCGTCGAACCCGGGGGGCTGGGCGGGCTGACCCGGGCGCAGGCACTGGAACAGGGACCGCGCCTGCGGATCGAAACGCCGGCGCTCGACGGCTCGATAAATCTGGTCGGCGCCCGCTTCGACGACCTGACGCTCCTGCGCTACCGCGAGACGATCGAGGACGACAGCCCCAACATCGAGCTTCTGCAGCCAGTCGGAACCGCGATGCCCTATTTCGCGCGGCTGGACTGGACAGCCGTCGGCGATCTGCAGGTCCCGGGCCCCGATGCGGTCTGGGAAGCCGACGTGCGGACGCTGACGACCGATCAGCCGGCCACGTTGACCTGGCAGAACGACGCCGGGCTGACGTTCGTGAAAGAGATTTCCATCGACGAGAACTATCTCTTCACGGTCACCCAGCGCGTGATCAACCGATCCGACCAGGACATCACGCTTGCACCTTACGGCGCCGTATCGCGCAGCGGCACGCCCGAGACCCTCGACTTCTTCATCCTGCACGAAGGCATGATCGGGGTGCTTGGCGAGGAACTCCTGGAGATTTCCTACGGCGACATCCGCGACGACCGGCAGGTGCAGACGGCCTCGACGGGCGGGTGGATCGGCATCACTGACAAATACTGGATGACGACGCTGGTTCCGGACCAGCAGAACGAGATCCAAGGCCGTTTCCTCTACTCCGAGGATGTCGGCGTTCCGAAGTATCAGGCGGATTTCATCTACGCACCGCAAGCCGTGCCGGCGGGCGGCAGTGCCGAAATCACAACCCGGCTGTTCCTCGGCGCCAAACTGGCCACCCTGCTCGACGACTATTCCGACGCCTATGGGATCGACCGCTTCGACCTCGCCGTCGACTTCGGCTGGTTCTACTTCCTGACCAAGCCGATCTTCCTGGCTCTGCACTGGCTGAACGGGGTGATCGGAAACTTCGGCGTCGCCATCCTGATTCTGACGGTCGGCATCAAGCTCGTTTTCTTTCCACTGGCCAACAAGAGCTATCTGGCCATGGCCAAGATGCGCAAGCTGCAGCCGCAGATGCTGGAGATGCGCGAGCGCTTCGGAGACGACAAGCAGCGCCTGAACCAGGAGATGATGGCGCTCTACAAGAAAGAAGGGGCCAATCCGCTCGCCGGCTGCCTGCCGATCCTGATCCAGATCCCGGTGTTCTTCGCGCTCTACAAGGTGCT